TGTTACCGGGGACTGGCAACGGGGAGGGGGGTGTTGCCATGGAGACCGCCCGGGGAGACCCCGGACCAGCACCGGCGGGGAGCGTTACCATGGAAACCGGTTACGGTGGGGGGAGTGTGTTACCGTGGAGACTGGCAACAGGGGGTGGGTGTTACCATGGAGATCTGGGGGGGAGTGCTACCATAGAAATTGGCAACACGGGGAGTGTTACCACGGAGACCCGACAGGGGTAACCCGGGAACAGCCCAGCAGGGCTGGGTAAGGGTTGCAGTATTTCCAGAGACTGACTCGACACTGGTGGGGACTGTTACCATAGAGACCGGGGGGTTACCATGGAAACTGGTACCAGGGGAAGGGGTGGTGTTACCACGGAGACTAGCTGGGGGTACCTGAGACCAGCACCATTGGGTGAGGGGGGTGTTATCGTGGAGACCCATATGGAGAAGGGGACGGTGTTGTTACCCTCGGGGTCCGGCACCGGTACCAGCAGGCGGCCAGGCACGTGTCCCCCGTTACGGCATGGTCCATGGCCCCTTGTTTCGCTCCCCGCATGGTGCCCAGCGAGCGGCTGTTCATGGAGATGGCTGACGCGATGGCTGCGGACGGCTGGCGGGACGTGGGCTACGAGTACGTCTGCATCGACGACTGCTGGATGGCGCCGACGCGGGACGCCTGCGGCCGGCTCCCGCCCGGACCCCAGCGCTTCCCCCGCGGCATGCAAGCTCGCGGACTACGTGAGTGCCGCTCCGCGACCCCGGCTCCCGCACACGGCTCCCACCGAGCTCGGGCTGCACGCGGGACCGGGAATCTCCTGTCTGACCTTGGTCCATAAGGATTTTCTAAATTGGCGCACAAGGGGTAACACGACCACCCTTGCGGAAGGAAAGTTTGGTCCTGGTTTTCACATGGCTTTGAGCCGTGAATTTTGTCAGGGTGATGGCAGCGCGTGGGGATGGCTGAGCAGCCGCGCTGCTCTCACCCCAGGGAGCAGGGGAGGAGAGGGAACGCTGTGTGGGAGGCTGCTACGTGTTACACCCTGCTTCCCAAATTGTCCCAATCGTCGTCTTCCTGCCCCATGGCTGCTCACTGCCCACTTCTCTTTCTACCCGCAAGCTCAGGTCCACTCCAAGGGGCTGAAGCTGGGAATCTACAGCGATGTCGGGAACAGGACATGCGCCGGCTTCCCCGGCAGCTACAACCACTACGAGCTGGATGCCCAGACCTTCGCGTCCTGGGGCGTGGACCTGCTCAAGTTTGACGGCTGCAACTCTGGCACGCCGGAGCTGCTGGCAGAAGGTATGTCCTGACTGCAGAGCGTGCCGTGTCGCAAGCTGGGAACATTCCGCAGTCAGTTTAGGGGCAGGTTCCAGAAAGCTGCTTTTCCCTGACTATGCCGTTCAGATATTTGCTTATAAAAGCAGTTACAAGGTTGTGTTCGCGAACCCAAGGCAGTTCTCTCCAAGGTAGCAACTATTCCTAGCCCAAGTGACTTCTATCTACGCACTCAGCTTTCCCCCGCCTGCCTCCCGGAGCTTTCCCCTTGCACGTTCGGCTTCAAAAAGCAGCCTTCTCCCTCCAGAGGCTGCAGCACGCTGAGCAAAGGAACACGGCCGCATACTCCGGGGGATCTCCGTGCGCACTGCTGCATCAGCTCTTAGAACAGCAAAGGCTTTGCCCTTCGAGAGTGCCTTTACTGGAGAGCTCAAAGCACTTCACACAGTTAACCCTTAATCCCTTTGGTAAAGCAGTGTCACAGCGGATCAGCTTTCAGCCAAAGCAGCTTGAATCAGCCACAAAAAGGGCAGTTATCAGGGCTCGTAACAGACAGAAGTCAAGAGAATTCTGGCATGAAAAACCTACTGGGATTTTCACTTTAAAGCATGCCAGTGAAAATGCCAATTTGGAACTTATCTATATGCAGGCTGGCAAATCAGGAGCTGAAAGCTC